AAGAAGATAATGTTTTGTATCTTTCCAAGTGTGACCCCACTCACCAACTGCCACGCAGCCTCTCCCTTTCATACTTTTCTTCTTTCTTATCCATTCACATGTAGGTCCTACCATACCATGGGACATGGTCATGGACCCCTCTTCCCAAATTCCAATTGGATTTTGATCTCGTCGTTTATGAAAGTGCTAGTGTAAATAAACAAAGGGTATAATCACAAGATAAACCCACAAACTTAAATGGATCATTAGTAAATTAACAGAAGGATATTTTTATTTATTTGATGATAAAATTGGAAAGCAGCTCACGGTTAGATCTTGACTAAACAAGGAGTCATCCACCGTGCCTGACTTAAACAACACTACACACACATTATACATGCATAATTAATAATGCTTAAAGACAGTGAGCTCTTTCTCTCTCTCTCTCTCACAGAAAGCCAAACAAGGCCTTACATTACTTACAAAAATTAAAACGACACAACCTAATCACAAAACAATCCAGTCCAGTCCGAACCACCACCAAGGCACGTGACAAACGCAGAAATGAAAAAACGACACTATTTACATGCGACCCCCGGTAGCCACTAGCTGGTGTCTGCTCTCATCGGTTGCTTGCTTGTCACCTTAGCGATGCTTGCTCCTGGTCTCCCCACTGTAAAGCCTGTGATATGATCACGTATATCAGACAATATATAAGATCTAATTAAGTATATAGATCTACGATCAACAGATAGATCTATGATGAACGTACGGCTTGGATTGATTTGTGTGGAGGTTAAGAAGTTACGTACCAATCATAGACAGTGGGAGAGTTGGGCTGTGGCTTGTCAAAGACCTGGTTGCCCATGGTTCTGGTGGCAAGGTTGCTGCCTGGGTGGAAAACACTCCTCCAAACGTTGTCCTTAGCACGAGCTGAAGCTGGCGTTACTGGTGTTCCTGGGGTTACTGGTGTTCCTGGGCTCATAGGCATCGCCAACTTGCTGCTGCTGCTTGTCTCTCCCTCTACATCTACACAAAATTTAATCAAAACCCAAAAAACCATATGATATATGGAAACTAAAATTAAAAAAGAGACAAACTTTATGTCACATATATATGTAGCACCTTTGATGTTCAAGGGTTTTGGGGTGACCTTCCTAAGCTTGCCAAGCCCACGTTCAGGCTGAGGTCCAGCAACAATGTCATCCCAAAGCTTTTCAAGCAGAACCATTTTTTGCTCACTCTTTCTCTCTCTCTAATTGCTCATGGTCTAGAGGCTTCTATTCTATATATAATGCGACTAGAAACCTAAAATATCTCATCTCTCATTAAAAATTTGCTAATTGGGGCCTTCTCTCATTTTTCCACCACCAAGTGGCATTGATTTTTAATCAGGGATTGCAGTGGGCAGTGCAAACGATGGGTACTAACGACAATTGTGGGTGAAATTGGCTATAGGAAACCCGAGAGTGGAAAAAGGAAGGATGAGAGACGGATAAGAATGAAAGACTTGGTAAAACTGGGCCCCGCTAAATAATATTATCCATCCATCAAACACACCTAATATCTATAGAGTTGAGAGTTGGTGTACTCGTCTTACTATACGAATACTTGTGCTATTTATCAGAACGATGTGGGGTCCACAGTGATCAATGATCATGGGTGGGAGACAAAGAATTTTGAGATGACACGTGGATCCTGTAATTTGGTCTCACTTTCCGGGTTAAATGTTCATGCACTAGTTTTCAACGTGGTGTTATTTATTTACTCATAAATATTACAAATGATATTTTTTATCTATTGATACTGTACCATGATTCATGAAATATCAACTCTCGAATCAGACAACATTTAACCTAACACCACGACGTGACGGCGTGAACATCTCAAGGGGACTAGAATGAGGGATCATAGTGAAGGGTCCTTAATAACTATCTAATTTTAGTGCATAGATATTATTGGACTGTAGCTTTCCCCAATTCTTCTCCTTTTATTTTTATGTGATGGCAATCTGTTTTTTTTATAAATAAATAAATAAATATATATAATCTGAACATATGATCTCCAACAGAGCCCACATATCATGTTGGGCTACTTCAATAAACTGTGCCGAAAAAGTAAAAAGAATTCGGTCCACCAATTCACTAATAGAGAGACACATTTTTTAGCAGTGCATGCTGATCCAGCTGGTCCAGCCCAAGTTTTCTGTACAGATTGCCCTGCTCATTTAAGACCTGCTTAATGGGCCGACACCTGGGCTAATAATAATAAGCTGGTGAACCAATATAAGCCTACATATTTCTTCAAATAACCCCCCCCAAAAAAAAAGTGAAAGAAAAAAATAGAAGCAATCATTTTGTTTTGTTTTTCCTTAGAAGAGGAACTCAAGAAATTAAAATGAATAAATAAATAAACATAACACTAATTAGCTGATTTAAATAACATGCCAATGCCCAATGCCCAATGCCATCCTCGATAACATCAGCAGCTACCACCTAAAGCCAAGTTTTGTAAGTATGCATTAAAAAGATCAAAAGCATCAGAGACAAAAGTTCCATGGAATCTGGAGATCCATTTTTAAGGCTTTTTGGTGAACAAACAAACAGCAGATTCAATGGTCGGCATTCGGCTGACACAACCATATGAGAATGAGATGATATGCCATTCACCCAGGCCAAGCCAACCTTATTATTTTACCTTTTTAACAGCAGGCAATTCCTTGGTATTATCCACGCCCCTACAAAAGATCACCTGCAAGCCTACAAGCTGCCTGCCTGCATATCTTCAAGCATTTTAAAATTTGCCGCAAAAAGTATCTCACACTTCCGCATTTTACACATTTTTAATGAATCGCAAATACATGTAATGAATATTCTGCATTGCTTCTTCATCATCCCGTTATTTCCAAGCTGCCTATATACCATCCAAAACAATAGAAAATGAGAACAATAAATCATAGCTACTAACATGGCAAAGGAAGCAGAGATGAAAAACAAACAAACAAGACAGAACAAATAGTTAAATTCACACTCAGCCCCCTTATCCAGAACTGTATATATATCACTCTGGAAGCTTGGACCCAGAATGCATCCTAGAAACAATGGCAGCCCGCCTGCAAAACAAGATTTCAATGGATGCTGCAGCTGATAGCTGTTCACTTGACTCTTTTTCGTTTGCTGGCCTCCTGTGTGTTCAGGATCAGCAATCCAAGTCCCTCCCTACTAACAGAGCCAATCAAATTCACAAACAAGGCACAGAGTTTGAGTTTGGTCACACTACACCACAGTCCATTGTGACCGATCCCATCAAGCATTACCCAGCAGACCTGTTAATCTCAAATGGTCAGATCGTACCAAAAGCAATTGTACTTCAATCAACACAGCATGTTCCGACTAACCAGCCCTGCATCAAAGATTCAGTACGAGCAGCCCGTACCAGTAGCAAGAGATCAACTGACAACATCGGTGGCACAGAAACTGCTAAACCAAATCCCGAATTTGGAAACCAAGAGAAAAAAGAAAACCCTGCGCCAAGATCATGGTTTGGCCAGAAAATATTCAAGTCATTTCTCTTCCCTTGCAACGAATGCCGAGTTTCTAAACCAACACAGAGAAGACACAGAATCCCTGAAGAAAATGGGAAGTTACATTGACATGAGGCTCCTTTTTCTTTTCAATTCTTTCTATTTCAGCTAAATCAAAAGTCCATTTCAATTAGTTGCGATGAACAATTTAGATTTGGAAGTGAGGCTTCAATATAACCTGTTGTTTCAGTTGGCAACATTTAATAAAATCTAAGACATGAATCTTTACTCAAGTATGATCACTGACCCACTAGATGATTGATCACACAGTTGTTACACAACTGCATCTAGAGTCTCAACACTCTGAGGTCACTTAAAAGTCACTAATATAAATCTGCATACAGCAGTCAATGCCATATACTGAGAAACCAGCCCCAACTTCTTTACAATCTCATAAACGCTTCCTCATATGACCCAACTCATTTTATAGAGAGTATAATTACACCCTACCAGAACCACCTGAAATTAATAGAAAATGTTCTAAATTATCTGATATCTTACATGAACTGTGGGATTTGTATATCGATTTCTAATGTCCTACAGTCATTCATCACACAGAGCTGCCTTTCAAGCCTCTATTTCCCCCCTCCCTCTTTCACTCAATTCTGAATCTTGACCATATCAGGGCTATTTGTTGAAACTTATTAGGCCTTTGATGCCATAAAAAATACTTTGATTTGGGTTGAGAAACCATACATCAAGTCAAATCTAACTTGTTCTGGAGATGGGAAAATGGAAAAGAATTACAACATGATTGATTTACAGTTTTCGCAAATTGCCCTGATTTAATAGCAACTATTGTACCTCAACAGCAATCCCATGCGTAAGTAGATTTCAGGGTTGAGGACTTTGAGGGGTTTTCAGGTGCAAAGTGTGGACATTCACACTTGAAAGTTTACCAGTTAAATTTTACTAGCGAGCTATCCTCATAGCCTCATAGGCACTTTAGTTACAGAAATTCTAACTTGTTTAATTCATCCGTTTCTATCATTTCCACATTGATAAACTAGTTTCATGTACATAATATGTGCAGGAGCCTCAATTTCTTACGGAGGTTCTATATTTTTAGATATGGAAAATGAAAGGAGGAAAGTGAATAACTCAGTGCCCAAGAATAAGTACTAGAATTTCCATAGTTTTAACATAGAAATCCTTATGTACTAAATCATAGCTACTTCAGTTTTGACTTGAATTACTGAAATGCCATCAGCTTATAAGCTAGACACCTGTAAAACCTATAATATTGCAATCAAAATCCAATCCTCTGTTGTCAAACAATTAATGAAACTTCTGAACATTTTAGATGAAACACCAAAATAAAATTCACAGCACAAGAATTAACGACATGTCATAGAAAAATTAGGATGTACCTCAACAATGAAACATATTATCCATAGAAGAATCTGAAAGCTACAATTACAGATCATGATGACCAGAAAAGAGGATGAACAGTACAACTTCAAATTCCAATGCTAGCAATATTAAAAGTCAACTTCAACTTCAGAAATTCAAAATAAACATCTTTTGATATCTACACTATGCTTATTTTTATTTTTCATTATCTTAATGAAAATCTGCCGCACTATGCCAAATTCTTTGTAGCCAGTAAAATAAGGTATATGCAAATTATACCCAAGATACTGCAGAAGTGATCAATTACATATCATATCCATCCTAACTCGGGGAAGACTGATATGGAAACTGTAATTTCAACTTCATGGGTCCCATATGGGTATCCTTAGTTCCCAAACCAAAAGGATTCATTTTACCCTGTCACTCCACAGCACCTAAGAATTCAAGCAGTGAAAGAATTAAAGACTGACCGTAGATAGACTAAAACCCAGCATTTGGGAACTTGCTAAAATTTGGAAAGACCCTCAATCTGGGTTAATTCAAGCCTTAATGCAATCTTCCTTGCATAAAAATGAAACGAATTATGACCTTTTTTTTTCCTATATACAGACTAAGACAAATTCTAGTCATGACACCTATTATCTCCAAATAGATGAACTGAGAGTAACAGATAATTTTTGAAGCAATACATCTTATAAGAAAATTAACAACTCTACAAAAACTCTGTTCTAATTATGTAAAAGAAAAGGGTTATCGAACAAACTGTCCATGACCTCCAATTAGTAAACTGTGTAGGAAATTCTGCAAAAGAACAATCACTTGGCCTAACATCTCAAGATTTGCCATATTTCTCAACATATCCCTGCAAGTGAAAGAAGTAGCAGTCAGATTCCAGGAACAATTTCACATTCAAAACCCAATATCTGCGTCCTCACATTATCACTAAAATGACAAAATAAAAAGCTAACCTCAACAAGCTTTGAGATTTTTGGACGGCATGAAGACAGGTATTGCACAACTGTTTCTACGGTAGGTGGGATTTGATGGGGCTGAAAAGCACTGAGAACCTTCTCTACTGCTTTCTTAACTATCTTGTTATGTGCATCTTTGCTGAGACAACCTTCACGCCATTTTGGTTTTAACAATTCTTTTACTAACTCTACAAGAGCCGCACGGAAATGCCTCAGAGCTTTTGATTCTTGCTGTACATCCCCATCTGTCACATGTTCACCATCCACTTCATTGTTTTCTCTAAATCTATCTACTGTTATGTCTTTTTTGTGTCTAGAACTGTCACTCTGAGGTCTAGAATCACCATATGAACTGGTTTTATGTGGTTTTGTATTACCTTTGAGATGAGAGGGCCCCAAGAGATTTTCTTCTATAGTCATGGTTCCATTTTGGCAGACAACAGAAGCCCCCACTGTCTCTGCTTCAGTTACAGGCGAATTATGTTCACGTGTATAGCAGCTATTATCTAATACCTTTTCATGACATGTATTATGTGAAGACATAGAGTTTGTATCACCATCACAAGCTGGACGCATAGTCCCACTAACAGATTCACCACGTATTTGATGATGCAACTTGTTCCCAATGACAGCCTCTTCAGAATAGAAAGAAGCCTCAAAAGAGATGTTTGCTAACTTGGGTAACTCAATGCTGTCATGAAGAGGGTCATACTGGCTCCCTGAAGATGATAGAAATGCAGGAGGAAGAATAAAAGATGGCCGGAAGGGTACAGATGGCTCCCAATCATTTGAAGAAATTTTTGTTTGAAGTTTATCAGAGCGCAATGACACACTGGTAGAAGGCAACTTCTTCAATTCAGAACTAGAGAAGGGAGAGGAGCTTTTCAGTAAGGGAGATGATCTAGTAGAATAACGGTAATCTCTATTTCGGTCTAAAAGCTTTTGAGTACCATAAGGACTTGCATCTAAACAGGAATAACTAGAAGGCAATGAAAATCCGGTCCAAGATGAAATACGGCTAGCTGGAAATGAGCCATTAGTTAAAAGATTACTTGAGTTTGAATTCAAGGAAAGGCTCGCAAGTGGGGAATTATGATCACTGTGCATACGCTGGCTCCAAATTCCAGCTGGTTCCTCCATACAGCTCGACTGAGAAGTGGGATTCCCTCTAGAGTACTTGCCTGATGACGCAGTAGATCCATTAGAAAAAAATCCAGGCTCAGGATGCAAACCACTCATGAATCTAGAATTATCTTTATGAATTGGTGAGTTGTTATAACCATCAACGGGCCAATTACGTGCATGACCATCCCTTCCTACATCCTTAAACGAGGAGAGAAAGACTTGATCATCTTTGGATGAATGCAATTTCTGTGCATACTCACCCATATTTGATTCCTCTCCTGGAACTGCTGGAAACTTATGGTTTTCAAGAGACTGGTGCCGTCTCTGAATTCCTGTGTGTTCCGAAAATTGGATCTTTTCAGAAGAGAGATGTGAAGAAGCCAGAGGGTCAGGAAAACCAGGTGACCTTGATCTCTCAGTTATGTCTCTTAGACCTGTCACAGTAGAAGGTTGTTAATAAGAACATCACAGGAGAGTACTTTCTTGACATTCAAACCCAAGAAGACACATTATACCTTCATCAGGCTGGATTTCTCTAGTACAATTTGCAGCAGCAACATCTCCTTGTGGATGAGTACTATTCAGATTGTCTTTTATATGGACAAACTTACATGAAGTACCTCTAATGCACCAACCTTTAGCAAAGAAGTCACAGATAATAGCTGGGCGTTTGTTTCGATCACTAGTCTCAGCAACAGGAGACATAATTCTGGTCACTTTCTCAGAAGCAGCTGATCTGAAAAACTTGACAGTTAGTGGGATTTGAACAAGTTTGGTTGGAAAAAGTTAATATTTAGCTACCAGAAAAACAGATAGTAGCCAACACTTTGGCTCTGTGACAAGTAAATTTCGAAAGTGCACTTGCTTTGGCTCTATAAAAATAAAATTTTAAAAGTATATAGGTCCGGCATATCACCTCACCTTGAATCCATTTGTTTTCTATCATTCCTCAGATGTATGTCCCCTTGTTTCATCTCATCCTCTGGATTCATAACACTCTTAACCTCCTTACCTAAGTGATCCCTCATCAGGATGGCATCAGCCATCTCTACCCCAGCGACACCAGATGAGTTGGCGGCTTTAGCATCCATAACCTCACTATGACGCAAATAAGCTTTTCCATCATCATGTGATTCATTTGAGTGTATACCATCAAGTCCCTCGGGCTTATAATCTCGTCTAACATCTACACAAAACAAAAATAAAATCAAGTATTGCCGCCAAAAAATCATATTCTATAGGAAAAGTTTGGTCAGAGAGAAAGAAGGCTGATAGATATTCATAACAATCAAGTAAATCAAGTCCGTCGGCTCTTAGCCTTTCTTTATAAAATAAGGCGGCATATCGCTACTTCTTCCTTTCTTATTGTCTTAAGCATTTGTCCGGAAGTTCCTGCCTTCCCCCTTAGAGGGTTGGCACAAAAGCAGCAGATATTGAAACTAATAGCAAAGAAGGCTAGGCTCCTCGAACCAGATTCTATTAGATCTTCCTATACCGTAATTCGCTAATCTCGATGAAAGAGCAGGTGAGCTAAATTTGGCCAATGGTTTCAATGAGATTGGACCATGCTCATCATTCTAGATTAGAGAGATAGGGTTTAACCAAATAACCGGTTGAAACTGAAAGGCTCAAAGTGAAATGCACAAGACGAAACCTTAAACAATTTTCACAAGTATTGGCGTCTCCTTCCAAACTCCTCAAAACAGTGGCCCGCATATCAGAGTTCCAAGTTTATAACAATTATTCATAATCAAATTACATTACTTTATCTCACCTAAAGAATTTCCAATTGCTCTGAAAGCACTACATTAGCACGAATTGCTCCAATCAAGCCACAATGAACAGTATGAATCTAAATGCAAACCTAAAATTGAAGTGGAAACAGAGCAAACGTATGCATATGAGCAACAGCATCGAAATCCCAACAATCAAAGATGAAACAAAAAGAGTTTGGAAAACAAGTAGGTTAATCACAGAGGTAAATAACCGTTATGATGATCACGAGCTTGAACCGGTGAATCAGAAATATCCATATCCACTTCAACCCTTTCTTCTTCCATTATCTCTTCCTGTTCTCCCTCCTCCACCTCTTCTTCTTCTTCTTCTTCCTCCTTCTCCTCCTCTTCTTCTTCAATATTCTCTTCCCCTTCTTCTTCTTCTTCTTCTTCTTCTACTATTTCAGGGTCTTCTTCGTCGTCGTCATCTTCTTCTTCTTCTATCTCTGGGTCCTCGTCTTCTTCTATTTCTGGGTCTTCTTCTTCTTCTTCAACATCGGCGGAGTCGGAGACTTCGCCTGGGGGCGGAGATTGGTCATCGTGAGGCATTCTGGGTGCGGCTTCTTAGGTTGGTACGGTACGCCTTCCTTGGGCTTTGTTGTGGGGACGCTGAGACTGAGCTTGCTTCACTGGATGTCCGTTTTCCAGGCAAAGAGGATACGTGTAGTGCTGTGATTAGTCCCGGGTACATACTGATCGCTGCAACGTGATACATATAATTCAATATATATATATATATATACATGTTAAATATAGTTTAAAACTTTATATTAAAAACAATCACACATATTGATCTCCGAGTCAAACATTAATCATTCGGACTTTGGCATGACTCCGAATGATTGTCGAGTCGGACCATGAAAATTAACCTTAACTTAAATTTGTGCTAATGAATCGCAAAAGTTCTCAAGTAATGGTGAGATGTCACCAATAACTTATTTTCCAAGATTACAATGTCATCACCTTTTATTTTTCCACTGTAAATAGACCGAAAATAAGGGTGGGCAAAAAACCATAAAATCAGATCATGACCCAAAAAAAAAAAAACAATGTTGACTAAAAAAAGGTCAACTCCAACGAAAACAACACAAGTTAACCCACAATGCGAAAAAAGGAAGGGAATATAAGATTTCTATACACATAATATATATACATTTTTAGAATATTAACGATTTTTACGAATTTGCAAATATGGATACTTAAATACTTAGCATATTAACAATTAGCTACCCATCTAACCAAAAGAGACATAATTGATTGGCACATACAATGTATTTTAGCAAAATGTTAAAAATATATATATATATATATATATATATTCCTGATTCTCTTGAGCTTAATTTGGTATTTCTTTTTATTTTATTTTTTGTCTTATAATTTGGTCTTTATTGTTCCTGAAAAAAAAAAAGTATTTATTGTGGACCAGGTCTTTCAACGTCGGACAATCTTAACTCCACTTGCCCGAAATGATATCCTAAACAAGACCCAATACTAATAGTAGGAGGAGGGGCTGGATAGTACTAAGACCCAATTCAGCCACTGTATTTCTTTTCCGATAAATGTGATTTATTTTGCAGTCCATAATATGTTCCGTATAATTAAGGACGGGGTTCGGATTTCAAAATAGATTGAGTTGGATATATACCTATGTTATGTGATCTATCCGTGCAGCACAATAACTTGCAAGTATAATGTGTTGCACGAACAACAGATATGTAAATATGGTATACAAAAGAAGAATTATCCCAATTGAAGAAATATGAATGCTCAAAGGTCCTACCTAACTACAAAATGATATCAAGACGTCCCCAGAAAATGAAATTTCATTCTGGCATGTTAATGAACTTCAAAATGTAATGAAGTGAGGGCAGCAACGAAATTTATGGGTTCCAAAAGGGGCATGTTAAACTGGTCCATGATCAATGGAGACACACAAGACGTCTCTATCTCATCAGTTTAAGGATGACCTACAAAGTGTCAATGCTTTAATGAAAATTTTATAATCTACCAGCACTAATAATGCCGCCATTCATATTTTATTTAGAGCATTATGTAATTTATATATATAAAGAAAAAGAAATAGAAAAAAGAAAATGGAGTGGCACTCGTCTAGTCCTCTTCACCTTTGTTTATTTAGAGAATTCTGGTGATCAGTTGGGCCACTGCCTTAATCACAGGAGCGTCTCCGAAGATTGAGCACCAAGTCATGCAAAGGAGTCAAAGTTCAGAACTCGGGGTCCTGATGGACCATACCTCAACCTCAACCTCAACCGTCCGATCCATTCCACCTTACACATCCAGAACCCAATCTTCTCTAAGTTGAAATTCGAATCAATTTGTTTACCAAAATATAAATCCCATCCATATAAGCAAAAGTCACCAAAATTGAATAAAACTTGCATATATCCTAATCTGGATTGTCAATTTGATAATTGCACTTTGGCAACAAAAAAAAAAAATTAAAAAAAAATCCACCCCGTGAACTCTCCTCACCCTTCGCCCACGTTAGCGTTGTCACGTGCTTTGTCGTCTACACGAGAGTGTGGCGTGCGGTGTGGGCTCCAACCCAACCATCGAACCGTTAAGAATCTGTGTGGACTAGACCTAACTATCCATCTGCACCGTCCATTAATGAAACCTTCATCAACGCAGAGGAGATCATTAAAATCTCGGCAGCACATTAATATCTCCTCTTTTCACGAGTCAACAAAATCAAGAAAAAAATGATATTAGATACCAACTCCAACTGTAATTCAGCACTAGTGTCTAGTTGCATACACGTCCAATCCAATTTTACTCTCTCTCTCTCTCTCTCTCTCTCTCTCTCTCCCCTGCTGTGTGAAAATTGGAAAGCAAATACAGAACATATGAGAGTGAGATTTTGTATAGTGGAGAAAGAAAAGGCGAACGGCACATGCGCGTAGCGTGTTTCACAGCTAAAACAATGCTTAGGTTTGTTCTTCGTCTTCTTCTTCTGCCATGGCTTCTTCTCCTGCTCAGCTCAGTCTTCTCTTTGGCTTCGGCTAAACCTGGTGAGTGCCCACTAGCATCTTTTACTTATTCGCTTCAGTTCGATTACATTGCCGTTTCTTGATTCTATGTATATCTTGATTCTTGAGTTCTTAACAATTCGGAGTCAAATTCAGTGGCATTGGAGTGAATTTAGCCACTGAATTTAGAGAGAGAACAGTGAGTTTAAAGCGTAGTGGTGCTAATTCATCGTTTTTGGTTTTTGGTTTTTGGTGTCAATTTTAGCGTTTGCTTTGGTGGAGATCTTGTTCTTATGCTCGATTCTGTTTGGCATTGATGATTCAAAGAATGGAAATGAATCAGAGAGTAAAAATGGAAATAAGTAGTACTTTTTTACTCTTTCTGGGAAAAAAAAAATTTGTTTATTTGATGTTGAAAGAACGTTAATGAGTTTGAATTCTTTTGGAAAAGGAAATGAATCTGCGTTTCAGTTGTGCCAATTGCAAACACAGAACGGCATAAAACAAGGTTTGAAGTAGGTTATGTTTCGTATGTATGATGATAACCAATTTTACCGAGTTATAGGGAAAGCAGGGGCATTGGCGTATTAATGGCGGATGGTGCATTATGCTCTGTGGCCTCTCAACATTTTAGATGAATTTTCTATTTTTGTCTAATTTTTTTTTTAAAAAAAGGTGGTGACAGTACAATTACAGAATCTAGAAAACTATACATAAAAAAGAAAAACACAATAGTAATAGGATTTTCATGGAAGTAGCATTTTTGTATAAGTTGCTGCTTTCACATCAGTGCTTATAAAATGAATACTCAAATTTAAGAGAAGATTAATTCTCTAGTAGTTGTTGTTTAGTGAAGTTGGTATTACTATTCACACACCATCATGCAGACAACACATGCTTATAAGATTAGAGAATATTACTCAGTTCTTTATTTTATCTTCCTGTGCTTATTCCGGTTAAAATTTTGGTTTTAACTTGTGTGTTATGCTTCTGAGAACAGCACCATTTGCTATGCGCGTAAGCTGTGGAGCTCGTCAGAATGTGCATACAAAGCCAACCAATACACTGTGGTTTAAGGATTTTGCATATACAGGAGGCATACCTTTTAATGCAACACGCCCAAGTTTTATCAGTCCTCCACTTCAGTCACTTCGGTATTTTCCCCTGTCTGAAGGCCCTGAAAATTGTTACATCATCAATAGAGTTCCCCAGGGACACTACTCAGTAAGGATCTTCTTTGGATTGCTTGCACAACAGAACTACGACAGCGAACCTTTATTTGATATTTCTGTTGAAGGCACTCAGGTTACTTCATTAAAATCTGGTTGGAGTAGCCACGATGATGAAACATTTGCTGAAGCACTAGTGTTTCTTAAAGATAGCTCTGTGTCTATCTGCTTCCATAGCACTGGTCATGGGGATCCAGCAATTCTTTCCCTTGAAATTCTCCAAGTTGATGATAAAGCGTACCAACTTAGCCAGCAATCGGGTCAAGGAATAATCCTTAGAACAGTAACAAGGTTGAGCTGTGGTACTGGGAAGCCAGAGTTTGACGTAGATTATCGCGGGGATCATTGGGGTGGGGACAGATTTTGGAATTACATAAAGACCTTTGGTCAGAGTACTGATACAGCCCGATCTACTGAAGCCAGCATTAAGCAGGCTTCAAATCCACCAAACTTTTATCCAGCAGCTCTTTATAAAAATGCAATTGTTGGTACTGCTAGTCAGCCCAAATTAGAATATACAATGGATGTGGATCCCAATAGAAACTACTCAATTTGGTTACACTTTGCTGAGATTGATTCTACAGTCACTGGTGTAGGGCAAAGGGTATTTGATATCCTGATAAATGGTGACACAGCATTTCCAGATGTGGATGTTATCAAAATGAGTGAGGACCGTTATGCTGCTCTTGTACTTAACACAACTGTTGCTGTAAGCGGGAGGACTTTAACAATAACCTTGGACCCTAAAGAAGGTGATCATGCCATAATCAATGCCATTGAGATCTTTGAGGTTATAATGGCCGAGTTGAAAACTGTACCAGAAGAAGGTACATATGCACCCCTCTTTGTTTGTTTTTATATATCCAAGTTTCTTGCAACCCTCACTAACACCTAGCAATATGTACGTAGTGTACACATACTCATTTCATTAAACAATAGTTAGACATGTAGAATTGCAGTCTTATGAATGTACTCTTTGATCTTGTCACATATCACTTAATATCTTCTTCACTTATACAAGTGCTTTGAAAACATTCTTAACTTGTGTTACCTATTGGAGATTGTTTTTATTGCGTCTTATTTTTCACTAAAAGCTATCGAATGTCTATAGTGCTAGTCAAACACTATGGAAACTGTCGTTACTAATTCATCACCCTTTTCTCTTTCCACCAAAAAATAAAATAAAACAGTTAAGGCGTTACAGACATTAAAGAAAACATTGGGGCTTCCTGTTCGGTTGGGTTGGAATGGTGATCCATGTGTTCCTCAACAACATCCGTGGAGTGGAGCAGACTGCCAATTTGATAGAACTAGCAGCAAATGGGTCATTGACGGACTGTAATTTCTTGAGCCTTCACCTCATTTTTTATTATTTCCTTTTCCTTTTCCTTTTCAATCTTATTTCTAATTTGTCTTTCCAATTTGTATGTTCTTTATACTGCTCATGTGCTTCAATTGCTACCCTCTTCATTTTCTCACTGCAAGAATTTCACTCTTGAATATGTAAAGAG